TTGGCGTTTCTTTTAAAAGTCGTAATAAATAATCAAAGTAAAACAAATAGATGAGCGTCGCTGCAGGTTTCCTCTCGCTGCAGTTCGTCAGGATCTTTCAACCATAAATACACAATAAAAAGCAGCAGGTCGTCACAATGTGGATCCAAACTGCTGAATCAGTCCAGAATATCTTACAGTGTGTGAGGAAAGACAAACAAGCAGAAACTCAGAGCGGAAATATTTCAGATTCTTTTTGTTTTTCAGGTTTCAGGAGAGATTTTAGACTTAAGAGACGCTCTTCGCCCGAACTGTCACAGTGTCACATGACAGCAGGTGTGTTTACAGGTGGTGGCTGGGTGCAGTATATTACAGGTATCATTAACAACAGGTCGCACTGCTGAAGGGTTTCATTTCAAAATTATACACAATATAAACTGACGGCACAGGGGCCATTTCTGGGCCCCCGTTCGCCTCCCTCCGGCCCTACGACACAATGTCAAAAATATAATATAATCGGGCCCGCTGGATTATTATTTACATATATGTTTTCTAGATTTTTGAGTATGAAAATAAACCAAAGTGCTTTCCTTTAGGCTGCCATGAGCTAACATTAGCTAGCTAAAGATAAATAGCTAGCCAGGTAGAGCTCCATGTACGAAGGCTCGGTCCTTCCTGCAGCGGGTCGTCCCCTCTCTCCCCCCTTTCACTCCCCAGCTGCCCCCCCAAAAAGACGACTGTAGATTAGCTTGTGTTGGAGGATAAACAGCATCACTGCGTCGCTCTATGTTAATCAGTGTGTTTCTCATTTTGAAATGAAACTCTTCGGATGTTTGTGATCCGACCTGCTGACTCAGCACAAAGGCACTGACTCCAGACCCGCTCAGGGCCACGACCTTTGACCTCTTACTTCCTGCATGACGCTCTGTCCTAGTGACCGGCCGCTCTCCACGTTCAGACTGATTCTTCAGGCTGAGTCGTAACTTAGTGTTGTTGTTGTTTCGAACAGGAAATAATAAACTCACAACCAAATGAAGCCGGGTCGGAGGATTCAGTCTCTTACTGACTGAATCTGTTTTTACAAACCGGGTTGTTATTCGACGGGTTTTGCCGCTCCCACACCGTCTGATCAAAAGAATTTATGTAGTGAAGAAAAAAGGCACATCATCATGAACAATATCTCAAAGCGTCGGGCTTTTAGTGACGAGTTAAAGAAAGAAGATTCCAGCTTTAGTTAAATGTACCGAGAGTTCCTGTGTGTTTATTTTTTGCCACTTCCTGTTTCATTCATCGTCTCATCCAGAGGTTGGTTTGTTTCGGGACCCGGGCCAGCCTAAGTCCGAAGGAGGGTGGGTGGGGACGAATATTTGACAAATCTTAAAAGGAGCAGTCCGCGTCTGTCGCCTTCAGTTTCCCGCTTCCTCACCCGAACTCAGCTCCGCCCCCCTCCCTCTCAGCGCCTCCTCTCCGCTCTGAGCCCGACACTCGGCCGCAGACCGTTTCAGGTCATACGAACACCTTGGCGAGCGCGTCGGCCCCGGCGCTGCCGATGTAGCACTTGGTGGGGTGGAACGCCACGTCGTGGATCGACTCCTCGGACTTCTTGCGGTGAGCGGTGAACTCCTGGATGCACGTCTTGCTCTCCATGTTCCACAGACGGATGGAGCAGTCGTGACCTGGCGAGAGGAAACGTGTCATCAGGATGAGTCCAGATGTGTTTCTACATCATTTATTCTTTAAATTTCAATACTCACTTCCAGACATGAGGTACAGTCCGTTTGGATCCACAGCGAGACTCGTGACAGAGTCCAGGTGGGCGACCATCGAGTGGATCAGCTTACCTTCGATTCAAAACAGAATAAAATAAATGACTCTTCAGTTTTATTAGTAATTAATAATGTTAATAATAACATGTTTTACAGAAATTTCCAAATGTCAAAAGAATTGTTTTATGGTGTTCCTCGAGGTCTCAATGTCTTAATGTGGTATTTTGGAGGGATACTTATCAATACTAGAGCCGTTAGAAATGCTTAAATTTTGCACCAAATCTGTGGAACAAAAGACATCAACCCAAAAATACGTCTGTCATAATGTAAAGAAATAACTCAAAATTGAATCATCAGGCCGAGATCCAGACTTTTAGTCCCTGGTAGTGGACGACAATAACCACAACGCATCTTAGACCCTCCCACCACGTACAGTTTGTAACTCAGGTTTTAGTCTCCCCAAGCTGAACCCGGCGGCTGTGTGTTACCTGTGTTATTATCAAAGAACTGGATGTGTCGGTCCTCCTGAGCTGTGATGGTGATTGGCAGCGTGGGATGACTCAGCACTTTGTTGATCTTGCAGGGAGCCTCTGTGAGAAGGCGGACGTGAGATGGACCACATTAGCATTTAATACCAACAATCGTCAGACCATCAGGACTAAAAGCACGCTGAGAGAGACGCGTCCTCTCACAGCGGCTGCAGATAACATAAAGCGTCTCTTTTACACAGACGGACACACTATCAGAGACGTAACCTCCTCCAGACGATAACAATATCAGCAGGAACCAATGAGCTCACATTGTTGTTGGTTTGAGTCTTTTTTAACAGAAATACAGAATAATGTCTTTAATGTGGACGACAGACCAGTGATACTGAACTAAATACAGAATGAGACCAGTGATTGGTCGGTTGGTTTACCTGGCGGCCCGGCTGACTCCAGCTTCAGGACGAGCTGCTGCGTCTCCATGTTGAAGAGTCCGATGTGGCCGGTGTTGAAGGACGTGACCATGTGAGCCGGCTCGCTGCTGACCAGGTCCACGGACGTCGGCACCCCGAGATCTGACACAAACACAGACAGCAAAGGTTCACCTTGTTCCTGCAGCCAATCAGAACGACTGCACCGCCATACATCAGGTAAATCACTGAACAATGAAGAAACTGTACATAGACGATGACAAATGCAAGGAATTATTATTTTTCTGCCAAAAGAATTTTATTTTTGGCCACAACTCTTCCACAAATTATGTGATTTAAAAATCATTAAAAAAAAAAATTCTTGCGGAGATATTGGCATCGTTAGCATCTTAGCATGATAAAATAGCACTTAACTCTAAGTACAGCTCTGAACCCTGAACCTTAGGAAATCTTATTGGGAGTTAAGATTTATCTTCTAGTTACTGAGACTCACGACTCACCTCCTCTCTCGTTGAACACAGCGAGAGACGGCGAGGTGTCGGCGGCGTTCCACAGCCGGACCGTTCCATCAGCCGAGCAGGAGAGGAGGCGACGGTGGGCCGAGCTGTAGACCAGACCCCACACTGAGTCCGTGTGACCACACAGCGCCCCCCGCAGGACAGTGGGCTCTACCAGAACCATGACAGACAGAGGTGTAAAAACTATATATTCTGCAAAAGCTTTCATGCCATTACATTATTACTGGAACATACCATATGAGTCGTAGGGGTCGATGTTGGGGTTGGGGGTGTTCCAGCTCTGAATGGTACCGTCCACCCCCCCACTGAAGCACTGCTCCCCGCTGGAGCTCATGGTGACGCACAGCACAGCTCCGCTACATGAACACAAAGAGTTTAACATAAAGCTCATGTAACTTTATTATAAAGTAATAAACCCTACTATGTCGCTTGACTAATAGGCAGATTTATATTTGCATTTTATCTCGTTATAGGAATTATTTACATTAATGACATTAATAATATAGATCAATCATTTCATAATTATGTCGCATTTATTTTTTAATGGCATTAATGGTTCTATATGTAACTTTAATTAAACTGTTGTTAATAGTACCACCAGAGGCTGTTCAGTGAACTACTGAGAACGTCTTTAAACAGTAAACTGGATCTGACCTGTGAGCTCTGAATGTGTAAATCGGCTCCACGTCTAAAGCAGCACATCTGGAGGATAAAGAACAGAGTTTGTATCAGAAAACAGAAATAAAGTCCCGTCTCTAAAAGATTTATGTAGCTGAGCTGAGTTTTAAATTAAACTCTTACTTCTTGGCGGGCGCCGTCTTCTGGAGGTTCCACAGTTTGAGGGTGTGATCCTCGGAGGCGGTGACCAGGACGGGCTCCACCGGGTGGAAGGCCAGACTCCGGACCGAGTCGAAGTGGCTCCGCAGGGTGAACTTTGGGTTCCAGGTCTTCCTTAGAGCGTCTTTGTTATTAGTGATCTGAGGGAGGGAGTGATGGTACTTTACTCTTATTTGTCACCTTTGAGGCAGAATAATGCAGTGAGAGGAAATCAGAAAAACAACAAACTGAGGCTGTGGACAGACTTTATAGAGACGCTACTGTCTACTAAATGAAATTATATTTTTCTATTTTACCCAATTTAAATGTTATCAGGAAAAAGCTAATCAAAAGCACAAAATGGATATCATAAAAGAAAAAGGAAAAATAAATTGAAAAGACTTAAATTAAAAACAATGAATTGAAAAACTGAATCTAACATAATTTTTTTACTTGTTGAAGGGTTTAATTCCAGTTGCTTGAACTTTCACTTTGAGTTTGTCTCTCTGAGCTTTAGTATCAATGATCAAGACATCAATTTTGTCCTGATTGAGCTGTAGAAAGTTCTCTTCCATCAATCACTTGATGAAATACAGTTAAAAAATACATTTATTGTCCCTGAGTCATCAGAAGATGCAGCAATGTAAAGCAGTGTGTCATCGGCATAGAGACTGATGCCGTACCTCCTGAAGACGTTTCCAAGTGGCAGCATGTAAAAGTTAAAAAGGTACATTACAGATACAGGTACATTTAACATTACAATCGGCAGCAGGTTAGCTTAGCTTAGCATAAAGACTAGAAACAGGGGGAAACAGCTAG